CCCCTTTTTAACTTTCACTTTTGTATTAGTAATATTGCGACTACACTATTGTGATTGGAAATAATATCAGTCTATTGTCAAATAAAGTGAAATCACCTCGACCTGACAAAATAACGTAAAATTATTATCTGCCATACATATTGACAAATCAAAAAAGCTCTAAAAAATACGAAATGGTTCTTCTTGCAAAACATTATCGTTCAAGAGCGAGAATATTCAGCAAAAGTGTTTCACGCTGACATTAGCTGTTTTTTGGTCATTTTTTGTCTTTCCACAGTCGTATCTGGCAAATACTTGTCGAATTTTTGTATTCCCTTCTGCGTTTGGAAGGTAATTCTTTTCTGATTGCTTCATTATAATAATTTTCAAGAGAGGAAAACCTTGGATTTTTAAGAACTTAAAAGTTATTAAAAGACACCTCAGAAGTCGGAAAAACTCATTTCCCGCATCCTCTAGGAATTTTCTCGGGGGAGAACCTCCGGACCCCCTTTCTTTTTGGGTTTCATCGATTCATGGAAAATTCGTATACAACTACTCCTATTTTTTTAATTTTTATGTATGTATACACACATAAGGCTATTTACTGTAATAACAATGCGAAAAATTACCTGACCGTTTTCAAGAGGGGAAAACCTTGAATTTTGAAGAACTTAAAAGTAATTAAAAGAGACCTCAGAAGTCGGGAAAACTCATTTCACGCCTTCTAGGATCAACATTTTCCCGGGGGAGAACCCCGGACCCCCTTTCTTTTTCGGATTTATCGATTCATAGAAAAAAAAATCGTATGCAACTACTCTTTTTTTTTGTGTATGTATAAACACATAAGGCCTATTTCCTGTAATAACAATGGACAAAAAAATTACCTGACCGTTTTCAAGAGGGGAAAACCTTGAATTTTGAAGAACTTAAATTAAAGACGCTAAAATATACTTCAGAAGTCGGGAAAGCTGATTGCCCACCATTTAGAAATCAATATTTTCCCGGGAAGAACCTGAACCTCCCAATTTTCTCTTTGGGTTCATTGATTCATTATAATAATTTTCAAGAGGGGAAAACCTTGAATTTTGAAGAACTTAAAAGTAATTAACAGACAGAAGTCGGGAAAACTCATTTCCCGCCATCTAGGAATCAAAATTTTCCCGGGGGAGAACCCCCGGACCCCCTTTCTTTATGGGATTCATCGATTTATGGACAATTCCTATGCAACTACTCATTTAAAAAAAAATTATGTATGTATACACACATCACACATAAGGCCTATTTACTGTAATAACAATGGGAAAAATTACCTGACCGTTTTCAAGAGGAGAAAACCTTGAATTTTGAAGAACTTAAAAGTAATTAAAAAACATCTCAGAAGTCGGGAAAGCTCATTTCCCGCATTCTAGGAATCAACATTTTCCTGGGAGAGAACCCCCGGAACCCCCTTTCTTTTTGGGATTTATCGATTCGTGAAAAAAGAGAATACATACGCAACTACTCATTTTTTTAAATGTGTATACACACATATTTACTGTCTATTTACTGTAGTGAAAAGTTTACCTTACCGTTTTCAAGAGGGGGAATTTTGAAGAACAAAGTCATTAGACACATCAGGCCCGTAGCCAGGGGGGTTTTTATGGTTCGGGCGAACCCCCCTTTTCTAGCGAACCCCCTCGAATTTTTGAATGAGTCCCACCCGTTTTTAAATTGTAGCCTGCATTACAAGCCTACATTCATAAAATATGTCAGCTTCAGAAGTTCGGAGATTTAAATTAAAACGCAATTCCTTTACGATGGCACACATAAGGATGGCAAACATCGATAAAAACACGGCTGCCGTCTCAACTTTCACTGGCCTTTGGCTGAA